GACGAAAACGATTTGCAAGTAACCGCCGACTGGCTGCTGAGTCTCCAGATGGACGACGGCTGCTTCCAGTCCGTCGGGCATGTTCATCATCAGGCGATGAAGGCGAGTCTAGGCTCCTGAGGTGGGGGCCCTGGATGGGGAGGGGAGCCCTGGGTCGGGGGGTTTTTGGATGGGGAGGGGAGCTGCTATCATATTGATTGAGAGATTATTACTACTCTACCTCATATGCAATTTCCAAGTTTGGCGAGTGATGGGGTCCAAAGCCATAATCGCTCATGCAAGGTTTCCGAAGGATTCTACCCTTCGGTGCATGTGGAGTAAAGAAAGGTTCCTCCTTCAGGGCGGCCTGGGCAGCGCCTCGGCCTCAGCAGTGCCCCTCTCAGCCTACGTGGCCATCGCCCTGAGTGAGGCTGGCCATTTCGGCGCGGGCGCCCTCCCCGCCGCCGTCAGCTGCATCGCGAGCGACACAGCTGCCACCGACGTCTACTCAGAGTCCCTGAAGGCCTACGCCCTCGCCTTGGCTTCGAGCGCAGACGCCCCCGCCCACATCGCTGCAGCGTACGACCTCCTGACCGCCGGCGATGACGAGGGAGAGAGCATCTGGGTCGAGAGCGCGGCGTACACCGTCCTGGCCATGCTGAAGGTCGATCACGAAGACTACGTCTCCCAGGCGGTCGACCTCATCAGGAGAATGTCATCCCACCGCAACAGCCTCGGGGGTTTCCACTCGACTCAGGTATGCGACCCAAGACCTGTCGTTGCACAAATCGTGCCATTCTGATGAATGATTTCATCAGTTTCGTAATGTCCGTAAATGAGGCTATGGCTATGATGGTGATCATCATTCCTTATTTCCAAATTTAGTTATCTAACATTACCTTTCCTCCTCCAATTCCAGGACACTGTCTTAGCCCTCGAAGCCTTCGCTGAGTATAGCATTCTCTTCCCACCGTCTGACACGAACCTGGAGCTGGCAGTGACTGCCACCACCAGCTTCAACATCCTCATCGAGGCAGTCAACCAGCTGGTGGTGCAGACGCGGGACATCGAAGACCCTCTGCCTTACGATGTCACAGTGACCCCCTCTGGCACAGGATGCGCCGTGTTCATGGTCAGTGACCATGAACACGTAACATCGTAACATCTCTCTCTCTCTCTCTCTCTCTCTCTCTCTCTCTCTCTCTCTCTCTCTCTCTCTCTCTCTCTCTCTCTCTCTCTCTCTCTCTCTCTCTCTCTCTCTCGAAGTAGGTTCTGCATAAAAAAAAACATAATTCCAGTCAAAGATGATGGGAATGTAGAGGAACAATACTATAACCACAGCTAAGCAGTAGCTTAGCAATAGTGGTAGTAATCATGATAGTAATATAAGAACAAGAACAATAATGATAGAAATGACAATAACACCAATAATAACATTGATAATCAAAGTCACAAAAAAAGGAGAAGAAAAAAAGATGAAGAAAAAAGGAAAAAGAAAAATACCCATAATTATTACGGAATCTCGAGCGCAGTGCACAGCCTCTTCTCCCGCAGGTCGTCCACCAGTTCCACATGCCGGAGATCGCAGCCAGCGCCACCTTCAGCATGACCGTCACCTCCACCAGCGGCTCATGCACTGCGGCCAACGTCACCATCTGCGCCTTTTACCTCCTCGAAAATGAAGAGTCCAACATGGTCATCGTCGAGCTTGACCTCGAGTCTGGCTACGTTGCAGAGGAGGCTTCTCTGCAACGCCTGGTGGACGGGAAGGTCGCTAAGAAATACGAGGTACGTTATTCTGGAAGAAGGTTAAAGGCTGGATTTGTCAATTTTATGCATTTTTACATTTCATCATTCTATTTAATCATTAATGAATATATCCATTTGGTATAGCTAATCATCATTAGAGATATCCACTTAATAGACCCAATTATTATTGAATATATCGACTTGTAAATAAATGCATCAACACTATACATATCTGATGGTAATTAAATACTCCCACTTGATGTATCTAATTTCACATAAATATATCCATCACATTCATGTAATTGAGATAAATGTATTTTATTTATTTACCTATAAACAAATACCCACTCTTCATATCTAATAAGAAATAGATACATACAATTTATTTATCTACTTGTTTACAGATATCCACCCCATGAAAATGAAAAATAATCCATTTCATAAATCTAATTATAGATATTGCATATCCACTTTTTATATCTAATTTCATAACGGATATATCCGTATATACCTCTCATTATAGATAGAATACATACTACATATCTTATCAAAACAGATTCATCCGTTTTGTAAATCCAATTTGCATCAAGATGTTTCCACTGTCTATACCTAATTGGTTTTGTCTTACATTTGCCTCTTGCAGCAAGACGAGCCCGGCGTCGTGGAGCTGTACCTCGATTCTCTGACGTCAGCGGAGGTCTGTCTGACGGTGGCTGTGTCTCGGGAGATCCTGGTCGAAGACGTGAAACCGGGCACCGTCTCCATCTACGACTACTACCAAAACTCTGAGGATAAACTGGTTAAGGTACGTCGTCTCTCACTCTCTTGGAGGTGGGGGTCGTTTTGTATTTAGATTTTGGAATATTTGGTTTGTGTTTGTTTTTATTTTTTTTTTTATTATCTAGTTTGTGTTATTTTCTTAGTCGTTGATGAAGAAATTATACGTTTGTGCGAGGTATCTTGTTTACTTAACGTTATGAAAGTTTAGATAACGTGGCTTATTATTGGTAAATATAATGTCCATCGTATGTATTTAATCTTGTTGCTGTTGCTAAACATTACATATTTTCCATTCTATATGCGAATATAGCAGTGAACATTTTCTTCATATGCAATGTAAAACTGTTTTGATTACTAGTGTCTCACTATCTTGACAGCCACGTAACATAGATGGAACTGGTTGTGCAGTCTCTAAGGACCGTAGGGACTCTATGGACATTCCGGAATTTAAAAGATGGTCTTCATATCAAAATCTCCTCCCTTAAAACAAATGAATAAATAATAGAGAAATAGAATAAAATAAGATAAATAGTATATATTTCTTTGTTTTATGGTTTGATTCTCCCTTGATTAATTAGAAAGAACTTATGACAGGCACAAGAAAACCTACTTATTGCAAAATTATTCCTTGTAATGGAGATCAATATCCTTCGTAAAGAAAGAGTTAAAATACCTAATAAGATTTACATAAACAAAAAGAAAAAGAGTTCCTGAGTTAAAAAGAAAAAAAAATCTATAAAAAAAACAATCACTGTCATGTAATGTGTGTTGATTTCTATGATTTGTTAACCATTTACTTGTATTTATATTGTCCATTGAAGTATTTGAAAGTAATTAATCAATATTAACCATTTTGAATACATTTTCATGTCCTAATGAAATCGGTGCGTCAATTTCCATATGTGTGTGTGTATATATATATATATAATATATATATATATATATATATATATATATATATATATATATATATATATATTATATATATATATATATATATATATATATATATAATATATATATATATATATATATATATATATATATATATATAATATATATATTATATATATATATATATATATATATATATATATATATATATATATATATATATATATATATATATATATATATATATATATATATATATATATATATATATATTATATATATATATATATATATATATATATATATATATATATATTATATATATATATATATATATATATATAATATATATATATATATATATATATATATATATATATATATATATATATATATATATATATATATATATATATATATAATATATATATATATATATATATATATATATATATATATATATATATATATATATATATATATATATATATATATATATATATATTATATATAATATAATATATAATATATATATATATATATATATATATAATATATATATATATATATATATATATATATATAATATATATATATATATATATATAATGTATGTATATGTATGTGTATATGTATGTATATATATTTATTTATTTATGTATATATATATATATATATATATATATATATATATATATATATAATATATATATATATATATATATATATATATATATATATATATATATATATATATATTTGTACATATAAATAAATATATAATACATATGTAATATATATATATATATATATATATATATATATATATATATATATATAGTATATATATATACATATATATATATATATATATATATATATATATATATATATATATATGTATATATATATATATATATATATATATATATATACATATATGTATATGTATGTATATATATACATGTATACATATATATGTATATATAGTTGTCAACGTATGATGTTGGGGGCGTAGAGGTGATGAATGAAAGGGGACTTGAGGGTTGATAAGGGGAGGTAAAGGTGTGAGACCCGTGCCCCGAAAGAACCGTGCCCCGAGGGATCCGTGCCCCCGAAAGACCCGTGCCCCGAGGGATCCGTGCCCCGAAAGACCCGTGCCCCGAGGGATCCGTGGCCCGGGTGCCAAAGGGAGAGCGGTGTCTGCCGTGTCTCCGTCTGCTCTCCTGTTCTCCTGGGTCTGCCTGGTCTGCCTGCCGAGACGTCCTTTTATCCAAGTATTCTTTGGGAGAGTGTCTGCTTCCTTGGCCGGATTGGTGTTCGTGGGAGAGAAGATTTCAGCTTCCAGGTGTTGGTTCATGGTTCCTCTCGACTGATGGAAGCCATGTGTAATAATCATAAAGATATATGATGGTATATGTGCATGAACATATATATGTATGTGTATGTGTGTGTGTGTGTATACATATATATGTGTGTGTGTGTGTATACATATATTGTGTGTGTGTGTGTGTGTGTGGTGTATACATATGTGTGTGTGTGTGCATAAGTGTGTGTGTGTGTCTGTGTCTGTGTGTAATCAGGGGACACACGTGAGCCAAGCAGTGTTGTCCCGCACGCTAATCCCCGTCGTCTCGACACCGAGCCAATAAAGGCGTGATTCTGTCTCTTCCTTGGCTGTGATGAAGACTTATTGCCTCACTGCGCCCCCAGGTCACCCGAGGCCATCCGAGGACAGCACAGCCTATGCATGTCAATTCCCAGTTGGGGATGAATGGATTGGAATAGTATGCAGCTTTGTAAGGAACAAACATCGAGTCCTTTGTCGACTTGTTGAATATGTGTTCCTGTGTGTGGGGGGTGGGTGGGGAGTGGGGGAGGGGGGAGTGTTTGTCTGTGCTTGCTTACCTTCCCGAGTGATTGTTTTTCTTTGTGTAAAAATACGTGTATCTATTTGTATGTTTGATTTCTGCTTACTTGTGTTTTTGCTTATTGTTTATGTACCTACGTGTCAATCAGCATGTATTTTAGAGCGTTCATGTGCTATTTGTCTTTATCTATGAGAAATTTCCATCCTCATGAAATAAAATAAAATAAAAACATACATACAAACATACAAAATGCATACATACAAACATACAAAATACTTACATACAAACATACAAAATACATACATACAAACTTACAAAATACATACATACATACACATACATACAAAATACAAAATACATACAAACATACAAAACATTACAAACATGCATACATAAAACATGCAAAATACATACATACAAACATACAAATTACATACAAAACAAATTACATACAAAATACATACATACAAACATACAAAATACATACATACAAACATACATACATACAAACATACAAACATACAAACATACATACAAACATACAAAATTACATACAAACATACAAACATACAAATTACATAAACATACAAACATATACATTACATACATACATTACAAAATACATACATACAAACATACAAATTACATACAAACATACAAAAATACATACAATACAAACATACAAAATACATACAAACATACAAAATACATACATACAAACATACAAATTACATACAACATACAAACATACATACATACAAACATACAAAATACATACAAACATACAAAATACATACATACAAAACATACAAATTACATACAAACATACAAAATACATACATACAAACATACCAAAACATACAAACATACAAAATACAACATACAAACATTACAAAATACATACAAACATACAAAATACATACAAACATACAAAACATACAAACATACATACATACAAACATACAAATTACATACAAACATACAAAATACATACATACAAACATACACATACATACAAAACATACATACATACAAAACATACATTACATACAAACATACAAACATACATACAAACATACAAAATACATTAACATACAGATACATACAAAACATACAAAATACATACTATAACATACAAATCATACAAACATACAAAAATACATACATACACATACATACAAATACAAACATACACATACATACAAACACAAAATACATACATACAACATACATTATACAAACAAGTACATACAAACATACAAAATACATACATACAACATACAAATACAAACATACATACATACATACAAACATACAAATTTACATACATACATACATACATACAAGTTACATACAAACATACAAAATACATACATACAAACATACAAAATGCATACATACATACATACAAACATAATACATACATACATGCAAATACATACATACAAACATACAAATTACATACATAAAACATACAAGTTACATACACATAATACATAACATACAAACATACATACATACATACAACATACAAAAATACATACATACATACATACATACAAAATACATACATACAAACATACAAAATACATACATACAAACATACAAAGTCATACCGAAGGAAGGATCCTTAATCTCACAAAGATTTTTCACTTCCTGACAGGTTTCAGGCTCAACCCATCAACGGAACGACAATGTTAGATATTCATATATATTTACAAAAAAAAAAAGTCTTAGAGTTTGCCTCTAATTTCTTTTTCTCTTCTTATTGTCATTATAATAAGTGTTATTGTTATTATCATTATCTTTTTTATTTTAAATCATCTATTTATCGCTAGGAATATTATTATTCATAATTACTATCATTATCACTAGCAATATTATTGTTCTTAATATAGTTTTTATTATTATAACTATCATTAATATTATCATTATTATCCATAATGCCACCATTATCACTATTATTATTACAATTTTCGTTATTGATATGCATAGCATCATTATCATGATTATATTTGTTACTATTTCTATTATTATTGTTATCGTCACTATCATTTTTACCAATCCTAATTTTATTATTACTATTACTATGATCATTATCATTACTATTGTTGTTACAATGATGGTGATGAGGAAGAGGATCATATCCATAATCATCATTATCATCATCATCATCTTCATCTTCAGCGTCATTATTATTAGGATCATAATTATTTTTATCACTTTA